AAAAAAAAAAAAAAAAAAAAAAAAAAAAAAAAAAAAAAAAAAAAAAAATCATGTGGGACACAGTCATGTCTAAATTGAAGTCAATAACAACGAGACTTTGAAAAAGTTTATAATAATATAGACATCATCGGCATTTGATTCATCTATATCACACGACATATTACTTTTGTGCGCGCACATCAATATTACAAGTATACGTAGTCTATTTATATTGTATAATAGTCAATAAAAATTGCCACTTTCTTTTTTTTTTTCATAAGCTTGTTACATTTTCTTCATCATAACCAGTTAACGGAATATACATAGCATACGCTACTAATATGCACATACCTTTTTTTCCCTAGGAGATGACTTTGACCAATACATCAATGTGTTATGTTTTTCATTGTTTCATAACACACGTAATAACTCATTGTGTCTACATTGAGTGATTTTGCGAAATTAAATTACTTATCAATTCTATTTTTTTTTCGTTCTTAAACTAATCAACAGTGGGGGAGAGGGTACAATATTACACTGGGTTGAAAATTTTTATGCACAATATTAATAATTACAATAAAATCAATAGTCATAATAATCAAAATTTAACTGAAAGGATTCGTCAGAGACAATAATAGCAATGAGAATGATTATAATCAATGTAATAATTAATATCGAGTTTTTAATAAAATAATAATAGTAATGATAATGATTAATGGCAAATACCAATAATAAAAAAAGAAAAATAATAATATTCAAAAGCTTCGAGAATTTGACGCACAGTAATAATAAAATAATTGGCGATTGCAATGCTTTCGGCCTATCATACACTCGACGACGATGAAATGATGAATGAAAAGAAAAAGTCAGCGGCGATGCTGTCGTTTCATCGTCGTATATGACAGCCTTTTTCTCTCGCTCCGTATCTCCACCCCGTATCGTTGCCCTGTAAAAAGCCCAACAAGGGGCATGACCCGTGACTTGAAAAAAACGGATTTATAATATATTCTCCATCGTTTTCAGGGATAGAGAATTACGCACGTGTACATCTCTAGAACGAAAAGAGACGTTCATATAGTAATATTGAGCCGTGGCTTGTGGCTGCTGGTGTTTTCGTCTACCAGACGAGGCCTTCATTTTGCTGCATCTGATGGGGCTCTGGAAAACCAGGGCCACCAGGGCCCCCTGCGTTGTTGCCGTTGTTTGGGTTACCCTGTCCACCCGCACCTGTGGGTGATCAACAGAGAATGATAATGACAGTCGTGTTTAGACTTGAATGAATTTTTATCAGGTATGCGGGTTTGTAAAAGACTTGGTTTTGGACGGGATTTTGGGGTGCTTTAAAAAAATTGTGACATTAACAAAAATATTCAACTTAACATTTAATATTCTATTAAATATTCTTCGTTTTGTTGTATCAAGTAATGATGAATTTGTTAATTTAAGCAGGCTCCTCTGTTACGATGGCAAATGTGAAAAAGATGTGGAGTTTCAACTACTTTGAGGTTATGTATGCTCGTGCATCTCCCATGATTTAACGATGATCGACTTTAACATCAAAGGTTTTTAGAGATGGTCCGGAGAATGTTCATTATCATTTCTCTTTTTTTTTTTTTTTTTTTTTTTTTTTTTTTTCCCC